CAGCAGGCTCAGGAAAACTGTCAACTTTGCAGACTGTAAGTCTCGCAGCTCTATTATAATATACTGCGAAAACAAGATGTGACCCCATGTAGTGTTCCTAGCCACTCAGTGGAAGTGCAAGGCCCTGGATCTGGTGTAGAGAAGCTGCCTGCTCTTCTCCTGCCCTGCCTGGGTTTGGTGCAGCATTTTGCAAGGCTCTTTGGTGTTCAATGACTGCTGGGGCTCTGCTAGCACAGGAGTGTTTGCTTCAGCTGAGGGCAATTCTCCAACATGCAATAGGGCTTGTCCTTTGGGGCTCCTGAGGCAGTGTTCAAAGACTCTGAGATCTCTCAGCAGGATTGTGAGGGTCCATTCCCAAGGGATATGGGATGCTTGCATGGCCACCTGCCCTATTCTTTCTTCCCAACAGATTCAGTCTGAGTGGATGGGGCTATGGCAGAGCYGGAAGGGAAACAATCCCATCTCTTCCCCTGGGATGAGCAGTGGGCAAGGGTTGGCTTTGACCCTTAGAGAAGAATGGCTGTGGGACACAGCAGATTCGGGGCAGGGTAAGCTCAGGAGCACCTCCATTGACTTTGTGGAAATCCCACTAAAGGCGAAGTGGGTGTTTCTACGTTTTATCACAGTTGCAATATATTTTTACCCAAACATCACTCATGCTGTTCTGTTGATGACTTGTTTTTTTTAATTTTCATCCAAACAACATATTTTCCCAGTGCAATTTGTGCCAGCAACTAGAAGAATGGCTATTGGTATGAATTGTTTTGTGGGAGACATGCAAACAAACAGGGGAAGCTATAAGGAGAGCCAGTCACTTTCAGAACGGAGTATTGGGGTGGATAGCAGAGGGGTGTACAAGGAGAACATGTCATATGTCCTGCAAAGGTACATTGACCTTCAGCTATAGTGCTGAAATAACTAAAGGAGATGGAAGTTGATTTGGAGAGACTGAATAGCCTGGTATTACCTATGTTTCAGCTTGTTTTAGGATGGTCTTATGCTGCCAAACCCCCTCACTTGGAAGGGGAGTGATTGCCACAGATATGATGAGCTGCTAGTGATGTGCCAAACCTTTGGGTGGATCTCACCACCTCTGCTGTGCTTTTAAAAGCTCTCCAGAGCATTGACGAAGATGTGAGCTAAATAGTCCTGGTCCTTTACCGTGGAAACGGGGGATAGGATAGGAGAGAAGACGGTTTGGCAGACTTTGCTCGGAGAGAGGGCAGTTGCATCACATCGCAAAGCGTGTCTCACTTGGCCAACGCTGACAGTTGTAAGGAGGAATGGGTGACTAAGYGGTGGCGATGGCGCGCGGAGCCGCGAGGGCCGCGTGTGGAAGCRGGGCGGCGTGGGGCAGCGCCGCAGCCTGTGCTTAGCGCTGGCCGCCCACGCGGGCTCGCGGGGCAGAGCTGAAGCGCTGTGTGATTGAAGCCTCGCGCCCCCCTGTTCCCGTCCTCCTCCAAGCAATTAGAGCCTCATGGGGTGACGCGAATGCTGCCCCCAGCACGTGAGCATCTCGTCAGCCTCCAGCGGGACACGTGCAGCCTCCGCGGCCGCCCACGTGTGTGTGAGCTCGTGATTGCCATGTGGTTGTGTACGATGGCCCCTGCACACAGAGCARTAGCAAGCAGAACGGGCAGTGTTAYCTCTGGCTCTGAGAGCTCAGGTGGTTGTTAGCTATGGACATTGCTGGGTGAGAATACAAGCCTATGGGGGGCAGTATCTGCTGCGTAGATGTGGTGGAGGTCTTCAGGCTCCTACTGTGCKGATGCTGTGCCTCCTTGCTGTGTGTTGGTATCTTCTTTCTTCCTTCCTGTGTAGTTGGCAGTGGGCAAAGCTCCCTCTAATCCTTGACCCCAGTGATCGTTCAGATTAAGTCCACACTGCCTGGTTTGGGCAATGGTTTCTTTCCTGCCATGCTGCCCAGGTCAGACTAYATCCACTGAGGTCACTGGCAAGGGCTTTCTCCACATTGCTCCCAAGCTGGGAGCACTGAAAGCCAAGGAGGYGCCAACGCAGAGGCGAGATAAGGAGCTGCGAGGCGTGCTGGGAACGCTGGGTTTTCTCTCCGTTTCCTGGAGGTTGAGTAAATATTTGTAACACTGCAAATAGCCGACAACTGCTGGGACTATCTCCCCACCAAGATAGTGCCCCCCCCCGCCTGGCTCTTGGCATTCGCCGCGCTGACAAACAGTCAAGCAGATGCCTCTGGATTGATGCGCTGAGCACGGTGACCAGATGGGGTACGATCACAACGTCGCTGATTATTCCTGTCAGCTGAGCAAGGAACATGACGGAGCTGCGACCTCTCGATGCTGCCGAGATAGCTGAAAACTCGCCCCCCTCCTCCTCCTCATCACACTCTTGTTCTGGCCTCCTTTCAGYAAATAAGCTTAAGCCAGGCAGTTCCGAAGATCCCTGCTCTACTTGCACACGTTATATATTGCGCAGCCCCGAGGTTCAAATAAATTGCCATCTGTTTGCAGGGAGGCCCCGCTATGCTAATCTCTTGTCCCTGTGCAGCTGCTGAAGGTGGTGAGAGTCGTGAGCAACTGAGATGCTGCCGAGGAGCAGTCGGACCCCCTCCCGGGTGAAGGAGCAGAGCCCAGATGCTTCTGGTTTGGGTGGCCTCCTCCCTACCCTGCTTCTAGGATAGAGCTTTGACCATCAAACATGTGGTGCTGGGGCACTGGGCTCTGCAGAAATGGGCACTTGGAGGGGGCGAGGGGCTGAACTGCAGCCGGTGCCAAGGGCTGGTGCTGCAGCATCCTTCCAGGAGTGCTGCAGGWTTGAGCTGGCATGGGCTGTCAGGAATGATGCAGCAGATGGGGCAAGATGCAAGATGCTCTCCCGAGGTCTCTCCTGCACTTGATTGCCCTGTGGGGTTGCCTGACGGGGTGTCCAACACCACAGTGCCCTGCAGCGCTGGCCGCGAATCCACAGCCTGAGGGCTCTCCTGCCATTGTGGGTTGTGGCGCGTGGGGGACCCCAGTGTTGAATAGCGGAGGACAAGATATATCTGGTCCCTTAGGGTACACGTCTGGGCTTTTTGGATGCGGATGGGGAGCAGCATCTTCCTGCTCTGCTCTTCTCCTCTGCTCCCCCTCATCCACAGTGTCTGTCTGGAAAAGCACCCGGTGTCAGTCCAAAGCCTGGAAAATTGAGGACTCCCTAGGGGGCATTTGCAAACAGCTCTGCTCSGAGTGGGACTGGGTTCGGGCACAATGCCTTGCTTGCAGTGGGTGTCCCAGGAAGGCGGCTGGGTCCCTTSGATCCGCCAGGTTGGAGGTGCTTGCTTGGCGCTGGCAGTGCTCCGTGCTGCTGGCACCGGGGCTGTGCAGAGCACAGCGGTGCAGTGAGCTCCCGGCGTGGCCACGCACCTGGTGGGTGTCGCTGCCCGGTCCTGTCGCTTTTCCACTCCCCTGTCTTCTCTTCTTTCTCCCTCCTTCACTCACAAGCTTTTGGTTTGGGGAAGGGGATGCCACTCCGCGCACTGATCTGGTGGTGCTGCTGCTCCTCCCGGGAAGGCTGCTCCTCTCTTCAGCGCAGGCAGATTTTGGAGCCCTCTCCGTCTTTTCTGGCCACTCCTCGCGTCCTTGCTTGGGGTTACAGATGCCCCTGTTGTTTCTAAACAAGCTTTGCCATCTGCTGCTAAGGGAAATAGAGTCCATGGGCTGAAGCAGCGATGTGTCCTGAGCTCACCAGGCATCCCGTATCCACAGCTAAAATGCGTATTAAAAGTGTCCCTGGGCCGAGGAGATGCAGTGAGTCAGTGCGTTAGCCCTTACCCCCTGGGGCATCTCCCAAGGGTGGCAGGGGAAGTTCTGCTGGGAGCTGGAGGGAAAAGGAGCTCCTGTGTGTGAGGGGCTGCGGGATGTCTGCAGCACTAGTGATCCCTTTCAGCCCCAAATGGGCCCTGACACCATGGGGAGCTGGGGCAGCTTATGAACTGATCAGAAAGAGGCTTCATGACTCTTAAAACAGAGACAGAAACAGAGGTCACATCCTGCTAATGAGTTTATTTGAGGAGCTGACAGAGGTCAAACTGTTTGCTTCAACCTGGGAGACCTGGGTGGCCTTTGGGAGGTCTGCTGCAAACCTTTGGTCCTCATTTTCATCTTCTCATTTGCTAGTGTTTTCATTCTTTCCAATAACTGCCTGTTGTGCTGGTGGGTGGCAAAATTGATAGGACAGCTCTGTTCTTTTCTGTTGTTGTTTTTTCTTTTCGGCATTACTAGCTAGGTGGGTGTCTTGAGAGCAAGGATGGGAATTGCTTAAATGCTGTGAAGTGTGATCTGCTGTGCAGCACTGAAGCAAGCTGTTTTATGAGCTCAGGTGCTGTCACTCTGCATATAGGTAAAGGCCTTTGGAAGGAAGACCCAGCGAGGGGGCTGGAGGGGGACTTCCTTATTCAACTGAATGTGTTAATTCACACCCAGAGTAGCTATGCAGGTCGTTCACCTAGCTCGAAGACAGGAGCTGTGCGTACCCGTACTCAGCTTCAGAATTTACTTGCCGTGGAGAACACGTTCACCTGCAAGGCTGCCAAGCCACAGGCTTAACCGCAATGTCCCAAAGCAGCATTAAGCGGGATTTGAAGCCAGCCCAGTCCCGTTTTGGCTTCCTGGGACCAGTTAAGGCCTGCATGTTTTGAACTCTTCAGGCTGTAACTTCTAATAAGGCTGTGATGCTTCTATTTGCCCCTACATTTGCATTTAGGAGTAGGCAAGGAATAATTGCTAATGTTGGAAAATGGAGTAGAAAATGTAGTTTTCCTAACCTTGCAATTCACTGAATTCTGTTACTGCAATAAGAATTGGAAAGCGTTGGCTGGACCCCTTGAGGYGGCTTCGTGCAGCAGTCCATATTGGCAGAGCTCTGCCCCATGCCCTTGACTCTGGATCACGCTGCTCTTCACAAGCATGGTGGTGGCTGGAAGGGTGGGGGGTTCACAGTTGCCCAGATATCTCTTAACCGCAGTCCCTTTGCCGGTGTTGCAGCTCCCGAGGTGACGCAGGAGACGGTGGAGTCCCTCATGCAGAAGTTCAAGGAGAGCTTCCGCACCAACACGCCCATCGAGATCGGGCAGCTCCAGCCCGCGCTGCGCAGCACGGCCGTGGGGAGACGGAAACGCCGGAGCCGGCCCCGAGGTAAAGCTGYGCCTGCCCCTCTGGGGCTGTGTGTCACCACGGCTAGGGAGAGACTGCCAGGGCCGAAGGCAGGAGCTCCTCGTCTCCGAACCGCTCTGCTGAGCGCCTCTGCCAGCTCGCCTGTGCGGAGGGGGAACACACTATGGTCATGGGTTTACCTCTCTGTCAGGGCAAAGAGGGGAAAATCCTACATCCTCGGGCTGGCCTGGGCAAGGTGGTTGGGAGCRCTGTCACCTCCTGTCCTCCCCAGGAGCTTGTCCAGGTCTGACACAAGTCTGTGCTCCCTGCACCTCTGGCTGCCCTGTGTAACTTGGTTTCATGGCAGCAAAATGTGATTCTTGTGCAAGGGGAAGGAGTAAATTTTGTTTTGGCTGTAATTCACATCTCTGGGGTCTCCCTTGATTTTGCTAGTGCTTAGTTTGGGTRCTCTCTTTTTATGTTGTGGCCACAYGTGAGGTGAGAACAGGAATCTGTGGGTGCAGAAGTTGGACACGCACAAGTGTGTTGGGGACTGCACACTTTTATTTGTAGCCCTGCTAGTTATTCCCAATCCTCTGGAGCAAGAGGAGGAGGTTGATTGGAATAGTCCCATGAGCAGGATTTGGTCCCTGAGTTGCTTCTCAAGAGAAAAATAGCCTCCCACTGGTGCTGCTGAGAAAAGGGTAGTTTTTGTGAGCTAAGCATGTTGAAAGGTGTTTGGGTCCAGGTTTTTGGTTGGGCTGTGGCCAGGAGGGAGCAGGAGATGTGTTGGGGTGGCCTTGCAGCGTCCTGCCAGGGCTCTGCATTGGCCTGCCTAGAGCACTGCAGCATTGGGAAGCCAAGGAGGAAACAGTTTCCTCTGTGTTTACTGTTGGTTTTGTTTTTCATTTATTTATGAGTTTGAAATGTGATCTTTTATTCTGGATACATTTTCCTGCAATACAGGCCTGGAGAGGGCTTTTTTATTATAGCTCTGCCCATAAATAATTCACTTAGTGTGAAGAAAATGTTCTGACTCTTTAACTGGTTTAAATTATTTGGTTTGTTTTGTAGCAGTTATTCAAATACACGTATCTGGGTTTCAGCGGGAGCAGGAGAGTGCTTCGGGGTCCACAATTGCTGGTGAAGTTCCCCAATTTGGTACACCATTTTTTTAAAATCTTTTTTATTTCCTTTCTGTTTGGACGGCCTGAAGAAAAGCAGCTCTCTGGTCACTAATGGAGCAAGTCGATCAAGCCTCCCAGCTAAGCCTAGGAGACCAGCTCCATGCAGAAATGCGGTGCCAGCCCTGCAGCCTGCCAGCCCCATTGTCACCCCCTCGCCCCCAGGAGAGATGTCTGCAACCCCCGCTCTGCCAGAGGTTCCCACCTCTGACTGCCTCCCCGTGCCTCCCTGCTGTTCCTCATTTCTGCGCTGCTTTGGAGCACGTCTCCCTCTCCCCACAGCTGCAGAGAAGCCCCATTAGGTCCTGCGGTCAGTGACCTGCTGTCAGGGCTGCCCCTTTGGAGAAGTGGTGGCCATGCCCTGGGCAGTGCTGCTGTGGACCGCGGGGAAAGAGCCATCAGGTCCAACCCCTCTGGACCAGGKTGCCYAAAGAGGTGGTGGARTCTCCTCTGGAAATGTTCAAAAGCMTGCTGGGCACGATGCTGCGCACCAGATGCGATGCTGTGCACTGTTGTATCTTGCTTCTCTGCAAGTGTTTTTGCTTTTGGATGCAGGATTCCCATTTGAGCAGTGAACCTGGCTGTGCAGGGCAGGTTATCCTAGGCCCTAGCTTTGGGGAARAGTCTCCCAGGCTGGATGTGGATGAGGGCAGTCAGTGGAGGAGGCCGGGAAGAGGGAGCCAGGCTGCTGGGCCAGCTTGGGTAGGAGCCCTGCAGGTCTCTCTTTCTGGTCCTGGGCTGGTTGCACTGGACCCAAAGGCMCTGCAAGAAGTGAGGACCCTTCATTTCCCAGCACCTGGAGGAGCCTCTGATAAAAATGTTACCTCTTGATTCTGGTGCAAATCCAACCCCTAATCCAGGGTATACTGGTGGGAGGCAGGTGCTTTCTTGCCTGCAGGTGTGAAGGAGAAACGCAGGCTTTGCCAGCCCAGTTCTCAGTGCCCACTCGCATTTKCCTTGGGTCTCTGTTGCTCACTGAAAATCTTAACACTCATAATTGCAAATGCTTTCAGACACAGTGGGGACCTTTGTGTGGCCTTAAGTGTTAATGGTGTACTGTACACCATGAATTTCAAACAGGGACTGTGCTTTGAGTGTCTCTATTTTTGGGAGTCCTCACTTGAGACTCCCGAGAAATTTTTTTTTTWAAAGTCTCCCTCGTCAGAAATCATTGAGCAGCTCTGAAAATCAAGCCAGTTCTAGCAGCTCCAATAAAATGCTCCCCACGGCCCTATCACTATCTCTTTTTCTCACAATTTATATTTCTGTTCATATGTGACAATCTTGGCTGGGTGCTGCTGCTGAATCAGGAATGTCTTTTCCATGCACTTCTCTGCTGCTTTCCCGTTTTGGAGGTTTTGTTTTTACGGCCTGTGTTTAATTGTCCCTCAGCGTGCAAGTGATTGGAACGCTATCGAACATTAAGGTTAAATGATGATATCACAACTTACTATGTTTGCATTTTACATCCAATTGCAAACACAAACCCTTCGCCTCATTAATCCTTTGCAATCTTTTTTTTTTTTTCTTTTTTTTTTTTTTTTCTCCCCCTAAATGAAATTGTCCGTTTGGGATGCATTTGTTTTCCCTTAACAGCCACATGACAGTTCCACTGATGGAGTTTGCATCCAACTTTGTTACTGGGTAGTGACAAGTTGGCCTGACGGATGCATGTGTGTAATTATTTTTTCGCGCTTCGATTTAATTAATGCTTAACCTCATCAGAGTCCTACAGCTGGAGTGCTCTCTCTGCAGGAACTGCTAACAGCAGAAGAATTTCCTCCTTTGCAGAAGGCTCCAAAAGGGCTCAGAGAGCCTYATGCTAGAAAAAAGAAGGAATAAAAAACAAACCAAAACAAGAAAACAAACAACGCAACAGCCCAAACCAACAAAAACAACTTTCAAATCAGCTCTACCTGGCTTCCCTTCCCAGCTCTAAGTGCACTTAAACTGCTGCCTATTGCCTGTCATTAAATCTGATTCCGCACTAAGTATTTCCAGCAGTTCTGGGAAAGGTCATATTTTGCTAAGAAGATCTACTTTATAAAAAGAAAAAAAAAAAATTAAAAGAAACCTTGCAATTTACAGTACCATATAACTTTGTGTAATGCCTTTTACATACAAACTTTCTCCCCAAGCACTTTTATTGAGTGAAGCACATTTAAGATTTATAAATAATACAAGAAGAGAGAAGGCACTAAGAGGCTGGGTGAAGGAGGATTTCTTTGCCGAGGTCTTAATAGAGCTGGAGGTCTGGCCAAGTGGGTCCACATTTCATGTGGCCACCACTGAGAGGCTTTCTTTTTGCAAGGGAGCTGATGCCCGCACTGGGAAATAGGATGAGGGGCTTGGGTAGATTTTTTGATTTATCGCTGTGTCATTTAATTTGTGGAGCGATTGCTCCTCTCCTTGGCTTGGGAAATGCTCCCAGCTCCGCAGGTTGAGGTGTTTTCCAGGCAGGACTTGASGCTGGTGGCTGCGCAGGGCTCATGTGGATGGAGCATCCCCAGGAGGCAGCAGAGCCGGCAGCAGGGCCGTGCCTTGGGGAACTGGGTGAATTATCGCTCTACAAAGAAACTTCCTCTCTTRGCTGCCTGCGAGAAGTCTTCATAATTACTATTCCTTCCTGGTTGCCAAAATTTTATCTGGCTCCACGTTCAAACCTGGCCGCCTCTAGCAGCATCCCGGCCTGTCTGAGTGGGGTTGAGGCGGGAAGCGGGTCTGTCCGGGAGCGCAGCGGGAGGCCAGGCGGGCAGGCAGGGACAGGCTGCTCTCAGGTGAGGAACGGGGCTGCGCAGCGCCCCGAAAGCTGCCCTGTCTCGCTTGGGGTGCAGGGCTGGTGCCTGGGCCTGCGGGGCCGTCGCCGTTCAGAGAGGGGTGTCTGGTGCCCTCTCCTGGGGCAGGAGATTAAAAACACCCTGGCTGCTGGGAAGGACTCTCAGCCTGYCTTGTTTTTCCCCCAAAACACCCCAAATTACGAGAGCTGGGTGAACCTCGAGGAGGAGGACACAGAACTGCCGCTCGGCCCGGCTCCCTCGTGCTGCCGCAGAGGGCCCGYGTCGTCCGGCTCCCTCGTGCAGCGCCTCCCTCCCCCTGTTTGTGTTTTTGGRCACAGGCAGAAGAAGAAAGTAAGATCAATGACGGGGAAGAATTTTAATCAACGGCAAAGGCTTCTTTTGTGTGCGTAGTGCTGCTGAAATCAAAAACTAGAGCAGAATGTTTCATTTAAAAAAAATGCTGCTTTGTTGCTTTTCTTTGGCATTTTTGGGGGATTGACTGGATACATTTCAAAAGAAAATGCTTTTGTCTTCCCCTCCGTCAATTGTTTCTAATTTCTTTKTTTTTCAGCTAAGTTTGGTAGATGAGTTTTCTTTTAACCGTTGTGCTTTGGGGGGTAAATTAATTAAACAGAAGATTTCCATTTAGCTAATTATACGGCAGTGTCACCCCTGCCAGTCTGTAATGCAGAGACCTCCCTGTGCTGCCTGGGTGGGAATGGTGRCGGAGGGGCTCCCATCGTCTTGATTTCCATAGGAAGCTGAGGAGCAGAGAGAGCAGGTACTGGGGACAACTGTGACACAGAAGCTGAGTTATCCAGCTGCGGGTGACATCCAGGGGACCTCAAAAGGAGGACTGGGGCATGGATGTGGATGAGCTCCCGTAGACACTAGCCATGGAGGCAGAGCCAAGAATGGTCCTGGAGCCTGTGACCTGGGCATCTTTGGGTCATAGCCTGCTTGTTCGGGGCATAAGCATAAAGCCAAGGGATGTACTGGGGTTGATACAGTGCAGCGATGAGCAAAGAGACCATGAGCTACTCAGGGGCCCTTCCCTGAGTCACGTGGCGCCTGGGAGCCCTGTGGAACTTCTGTCTTTGGTTGCCTCTTCCTTGGATGCTGGAAAATCTCCTTCTGGTTGGCCCCACTGAAGGCACCTTTTGAAGCCGCCCGCCTTGCAAGCAAGGTGATGCTCCCCGGTGCTCACTGGCTGCCACAGCCATGGAAGCAAGGATCTCACATGCTCTTCTCTCCCTGTCCCATGTTGTSCCCCCGTCCCTGTCCCAGGAGCCACCGCAGGGGAAGCGGAGCAGCTCTGCAGAGCCCACGGAGCCACTTTCCCCTGGAAACAGGGCTCCTCCTTTGCGAACCKCAAGGGTTTTGACATTTCCTTTGGAGAGGATCCGCAAAGCACTTTGCTCTGAGTGCAGCAAGGTGGCTGTGGAACAGCGGGAAGGGAGGTCGGAGGGGTGTGAGGCATGGAAGGAGCTCGGCCCCTGTGAGCCCAGCCCCTGAGTCCTGCTGGCACTAGTGCCACACAGCCCAACATGTCAACTACTAGCTCCCCCTTCCTACTCATTAGCAGATTTTTTTTGCAATATCCAGCATCTGAGCTGAGCCTGGCCTCAGCCAGAAATCACCCAGAGAGCTCCTGTTACTTATTTCTTCAGTGTAGTTTTGATTTGTTTTTGCCCATAATTGTTTCACTGAGAAGCTCTTTAACCTTCTTGCTTTGGAAAAGGGATTTAAAATGTCAGTTTGGTTGTTTTTTTTTTTTTTTTTTTTTTTTTTTTTTAATGAGAGAAGCGTGCCTTTATAAAATACACATAGATTTGGATGGCAAAAAAGGCTTTGGGGAAGGCAGAGCATGTTTGGACTGGGAAAGGTGACTGGCAGGGGATGGAAAATCAGGCAGAGATTGAGGAGAGCCCGCATACGACCCGAACATGGATGGATGGCTGGAGAGACCAAGCTCGTCCTGCCCATGTGTCCAGCAGGTCCTCACGAAGCCCTGGGAGAAGTTTGTATCTCACCTCCTCCTGTGCAGGGTCACCCTTGGTGGCTCTCGATGGCCCATGGACCGAGTCCTTTGCCCTGGGGCTGGTAATTCCCACCATCCCCTGAGTGGCTGTATGATGCAATGGGCAGGAATGCTGGGATTTCTTTATGTTGACTTTCCTATAGAAGCCCTAGGCATCTAAGTACACAAACTATGCAGGAAGAATGTTATAACGGCAAAGTCAAATGCCCCAAATGCCCAAGTTGAGGTTTCCTGCACAGCCCTGCTTGGCTGTGTTGTGTATGTGCRTTAATGATATGATCTTTAATTATGTGATCAGGAAACATGTTTGCCTTGGATCCCTGCCTTGTTCGCTGTCTAAATTAACTTCTGACTCGAAAACAACAGTGAGAACCCTGCCCCGGTGCGTGGCTGAGCTGCGATCTGTTTGAATGGATTAACGAGCTTGTAAATCTGCAAACAGGATTAGAGAGGAGAGCACCTTTATTGAGACATCTGGCTCGCTGTTGGGGCTGCAGCACAGCGGGCTCTCTGAGGTGCAGGAGAACCCACGTGCACGTGCCAGCACGGAAAGGAGACCCTTTCATAGCGGGCTGTCCTTCACAATTTTGGGCTCGCTGCTGCTTTCTCGAGTCTGTTGGTCTGGGCTAAATTGCAAGCACAAAACTTCATGTCAAAGAAGGTGCAGCTCCTCTAGGAGCCACTGTGGAGATGCGCTGCCCATGCATAGATGGAATTTCTTCTGTAAAGTTTCAGTAAATGAAAACAGATTGAGCATTTGGGTTAATGTGTGGTGTTTGAGTACAGCGTCACTTCCCTGTTTTTGAAGGGAAGGCAGAACCTTTTGAGTGAGGAGACTGGGCTGGAGAGAAGGATGTGAGGGGTATGGAGAGAYGGGCACAGTGTGGTGGGCACAGTGTGACATGTGTGGACCTCAGGAGAGCTCCTGAGGATTCCTGCCATATATTCTGATGGATGGTGGTCCCCAGGGAGAGATCAGCCTTCGGAGGTCCTTTTGACATAGTTTGCTCTGCTGCTTGTGATTTGGAAGCTAAGCACAATGCCACCTTCTTCAAGAACAGCTTGTGGGAAAGTTAAAGGGAAGGACCCATTTGAGTTCGTGGTAAGCAGCAGTGCTGGGAGGTCCTGTGGCTGGTGCGTGTGGGAGAGCAGAGGTGTGAGGAGGAGGTCGGGAGCTGGCTCTGGGCTCTGACTTGGGAGCTCCGCTGTGTTGCAGTCGCCTTCGCGCTGACTTGGTGGGGCTGGCGCTGTCAGCGTCGGGGTCAGACGGCTACTCCCTCCCTCTCCATCCCTGTTAAGTGCTCTGCCCTGCTCTGTAATTATTTGCAGTAATTAGAATCTCTCTGTCATTCCTCCACAGCGTTTCTTCCCCTTCCCCCTGCCACATGCAGCTTTTAAGAGAAATAGAAGTGCTGTTGAGGCAGGACTGCTCCTCTTCATCCAGAGCATTCCTCTTCCTCTGCCAGCTTCCTGTGGGCAGATAAGGTCCCCAGGCCCTCACGGGGTCCCCTGCTTGTCCCAAGCATCCTCAATCTGCAGGATGAGAGCCAGGAGGTGGAGCTGGTGCCAAGCACCATGGTTTTGAAGGGCCATGTGGGTAAGGGGTGAGGGCCATCGAAGCAGCCCTTTGCTACGGAAAGGCCTGCGGCCCCGTGGGGGTCAGCACTGCCACCTCACCTGGACACTGCGCGCTGGGAAAGCTGGAGGCACCACCAGGAAGGTAAAACCCAATGTACCTGATAGCGAGGAGGGAAAATTGTTTCCCTGAGGAACCTCTTGCTGCCGTTCTGGCAGGCGACCTTTGCTGCCKTGTGTCGTGTCGGAGGAGCCGTTTCCGCTGCGGGCTGGGGACCTGTGCTGGGGTCTCCCGGCTCCTGTATTTATACATCCTGCGTAGTTCTAGGTAATCACAAAATGCAATATTGCTGTCACCGGCTCTCCGAAGACATCCAGCCTGAGTAATTTAACATGTCAGCATCATCCATCATAGAGACGCAACCAGCAAACAAACGAAGCAGCAGCTGCCGGGGGCTGGGACGCGGCTGGCAGTGCAGCCTGAGCGCAGCCCGGGGCCTGGGACAGGCCCAGGCTTGAGCCAGCCTGTGTGGGGCTGAGGGCAAAAGAGCAAGCAGAGATCGCTGCCCTTTCGGTCCTTGTGCTCTCCGAACCAGAGGAAAATGGGATTTTCCTGGGCTTCTCCAGGTCCTACGTGGCTTAGAGAAGGAAAGCCACATGTCAAAATGCGTTTTCGTTTTGGTTCTTCGGGATTTCAGGGATTTTTCAGGATTTTTGGTGTTCTTTGGCATATCAGGTCTTTTGGTATGTACGGGCCTGGAGTCTCACCCCATTTCAGAGCCAAGAGGCAGCTGCTTCAGTTCAGATGCAGGGATTCTCCCCAGCTGCTGCCACTGGCACTCATAATGTCCTCAAAGCCTTCGTGAGGGTGCTGCTGCCCCTGTGCTGTGTCAAGCTCAGCCTGGTTGTCTGCCCTTCCCATGGGGATTTTTTGCAGACCATTTTTGCAAGTGAGGCAGCTTCTGTATGAAAATCCCCCCTTCCTCGGAACGACTGCTGTCTCTTGGTTGCGCTAGCATGGGCATTTGAGGAAAATGTGGTGTGGCTCTGGTGCTCGGAGGGCTCTGCTCCATTCTGCACTGCGCAGTCCTTGGGGTGCAGACATGAAGATGCCTGGGCCCCTTAGCCCCCAAACGGTGCTGTTGGGAGCTCAGGGCGCTGGGCTGCACGCTCTGCCCTCACTGCACACTCATAACCCATCGCTGGGGCGCTAACATCTCCTGGCCACTTACTGTCTCTTTAGGACCTTAATAGAAATGCTCAAGTAGCATCAGGTAATTAACAGCCTCACTTCAGTGCGCTAAATCATGCTTGGTAGTAAGAACCGAACTGCAGGCCCCGTTTCCAGCGGCCGTTGGATGCAGAGCAGGTGCCGGCACTTCCGTGCCTGGCAGCGAGCAGGGATGAGCAGCACCACCACACTGCAGCCGGGCCTCGCTGCGCAGTAGCCCCAAACCCCTGTTGGAAGTCCCTGCAGGGACATGGCCGGATCCAGAGCCTGTCCACCTGCAAAAGGTTGCGCGAAGCTCCTGGTGCCTCTGTGCACTCGTCTCTCATCGGAGTGATTAAGGATTTGCAGGGCAGAAGGCAGCACTCTCTGTTTCTGTTCTGCTGCCAAGAAATGTGACAATTGCACTTCTGCCTAGAATAAAGGGGTTTTTTTTAAAAAACAGTAAAATATTTTAATGGCAGTTTAAAGGGCCACTGTCAACCCCCTAGAGGCCTCATTTCTTTAAACTTTCTATAAGAATTGAAAAGCTTCTGCCAATTAGGTTCTGGATGGTATTTTTTTTTTTAAATGTCTATCACTCTTCAGTGTTTGAGTGCTAACGTGTGGAGGCGATGGTGGGTCTGCTTGGGGAAACAAGCTGGACTGGTGCAGGGATCCCTTTCTAGGCTCCAAGCACCAAGGGGAAGGGCATCACGAGGTGGTTGTTGCTTATCCCAAAAATCACCCCTGGTGACCTCACAAGATCCTGGAAGTGGGATGAGACTACTGGCCTTTTTGTGTGCTTCCAGACACCCCATGCCCAAGCTGTGACATTGCTAATTGGGTTTATTTTTCCTTGATTGCTTGCAGGTGGTATCGGCTTTGGACGTGCCAAAGGAAATTCTGGCTCAGAGGCAGACGACGAGACCCAGCTAACCTTCTACACTGAGCAGTATCGGAGCAGGAGGCGAAGCAAAGGTAACAGTGCCGTAACTCCTGTCAATGCCAAAGAGGCAAAAGAGACAAAACCGGATGGTCGAGGTGGGGTCTGTACCTTGACTGTACTCCTCAGCAGTCAGTGCTGTGAAAAGACTAGGTAAGGACCAAAACGTCAAACATTTACGTAAAGGCATCCCAACAGACACTATTAGTAGTGTTTCCCAATGACGTCACTGAGTTTCTTGCTGGTTTCCTATGTCAGTCAGGTTAAACATTTAGGCAGCTCAAGCAGTTGTTCCCAAGCTGCTTTCCTCCATCCCGCTGTTAGGGTGGTCACATCCCACCAACTGAAACAGGCCAGTGCGCAGGTCTCCATTTGCCACTAACCAAGGGGACAGCCAGTCAGGGCACCATTAAGTAATAGCTCTCACTGAAGGGGAGGCTGTGGCCAGTGGCCCCTGCAGTCAGTGGGAAGGCCTGGGCAATGTGCTGAGGGTTGTGTGGCCCTTTTCTCCTACAAAGGGGGGATGTCAGCTGTCCATGCTGGCCAGGCCCGTGTGCCACAGCATATGCTGTGTTTCCTGGAGAGCTGCACCAGTGGGTGATGACTGTATCTGTCCACATCCTGGTGCTAGTGCAACTGTAAGCAGTGTTCACCCTGGAAGTTCCTTAAGCTAAGCGAGACTGGGGCTTTTCTTTTTTTTTTTTTTACCCTTTATTTCCTGTGTAAAGCTTGTGCCGCACTGAAATTTTCCATGCTTCCTCTCGGCACAAAGGCAATTACAAGGAACAAATTCAAAATGAGGGTTGGGGCAGGGACTTGCAGTCAAAAGTCCCTCCAGGCTTTTAATGACTTAGAAGACCTGAGAAAATGAAATATCATCCACATGAAATTAATGTCCGCATTTGCATTAGTCACATAACCCTGACGTGTTTTGTTCAGGACCTCAGACCACTCCCATGGCTGGTCTTCTGCAGAGGACCACAGGGTCTCTGCTGTTGTTATTGCTGCATCTCAAAAGCCACTGCTAAGAATTAACAACACTGGGAAGCAATTTAAGAATTGCACAGCAGGTCTGCTCCCTTCATTTGTTTTCCTTATTAAGCCAAGCATAGGCAGAGAGCAGCGTTGCAGATAGATGCCTGCACCCACCACAGCAAATGCAGCCACATTTATTTCAGTGATTAGGCATTCAGATAAATGCTCACAGTGTGTTTATTTCAATGTGAAATTACCTCAGCACCTATGATCAACTTGATGATTGCCCATTGGAATAAACACACACTCAAGGCATATTGCATTTATTCCTTTGGAAAGGCAGCAAACTTTTTTTTTTCTGCACATGTTTTAGAACCAAGAGAAATTCTCACTGAGCTGAAAATGAGCTTTTAATAGAAAGCGGGGAGAGATTTCAAGAGTTAAAGTTGCCTGTTGTAGTATTCGCAGGATAAAATGATTTGCAATGTCCATTTTGAAAGGGAAGGAAGAAATTTATTCTGTTGCCAGTGATAATAAATGAAATGGTCCTGAAAAGTCAATGGCACGAGGAAAAGATTTCAAAAATGTCCTCTTTTCAGTGAGTTACTCTGAAATACAAGACTTTGTGTAAATCCTTGGATACTTTGGAAAAGTTGCTGAAATTTTCTTCAGCTAGTGGATAAGAGCAAGGAGGAGGGGAGATGGTGTGTTCTCAAGGTGTAGAAAATTGTTTTATAATGGTAAGCAGATAAAACTTTGCTTTCCTGTTGTCTTTATGTACTTCTGCCTTAGGTCAAGTATTCTCTTGGTCTCCAAACACCCACTTGTGCTGCTTATCTAGTACAAAGATATTCTTACCGACCTGTTGGCTTGGAGTTGCTTGTGCTTCCTTGTGTAGTAAATATAAAGGAATAGATAAATGGGAGGAATTCCTTTATTGTCTTTGAATAAGGACTTGTTCACCTGGGCAACTTTGGCTGGGTTTGAAGGGGACTTCAGTAAGAAGAGCTCCATGGCACAGTTGCACACAGCTGGGTTAATTAGATCCACGCAAGGCTTTAACTGATGCTGCAAGAGCCTGGTTTATTCATCTTTAGTTCTGGTTAAGCAAGGAATGAGTTTTGCCTAAAGTTGCCCCTGTATTTCCCCTCCTGTCTAGCTAAATTTTGCTGTCACTGTGTCCTTGAAAGGAATTTTCTATTATCTTTTAATTGACTCTTCTCTCCCTTGTGGAAGGAAAGCAATAGCTTAGTGGGAAGTCACAGTACCAAGCTCATAATTACAAGTACAGCAAAGATCCATAATTGGACAAGATCATAATTCTAATAGAGAAGGACGCATCATCAGATACAGTTAATTCTTACAATGATGTTCCCATATTGATTTGGTGATGGCTGTGTGTCATTGCAGGTGCTGTGATGTCCAAGGAGAGAGAGATTCCTCATGATTTCTCTCCTTAGACTAGGATTTGCAGGTTTCAGCATAGTTACTGATACTATCAAGGCACTGATCATAGCAGATGTGATGAGAAATTTCCACTTAGGTGATGTGCAGAATCGTTTTTACTTTGTGCTTTGTTGAAGCGAGCTATTTAAGTGGTCATAGGGTTTTTTTTGTCCCCTGTAGAAGAAAGGCTGCAAATTTCAACCTGAGGATGTACTTGATGAGGTAAATTAGAGGGACATTCCCACAGATAAATATTGACTGAGGGAGAAAACTCCGTCATATGATTTTTTTGCCTGTTCTGGTATTTCAGGAACATCAGGGTTATTGGCATCTGGTTTTCAAATACTCAAATACTTACMTAATTCTCATTAGGAATATAGGCTGTGATGAGCCTAGGTGTTGCCCATCTGTAGTCTCCMGCCTACTGTCCAGGATGTCTTCCCATCTTTTATGACCAAGGATCAAAAGTATCATCCGTTTTGATTAAAGTTCTCCTGTTTTTCTTTGAAAACTCTTTGGAGAAGTTTGCAGGAGGTAAAGGAGGTAAAGCAAAAGAGAAAGTCCCTTGCAGCCTTGTTCATTTTCTTCCTGTAGGCCCAGCCCAGTTTCAGCTAGAAACTGGAGCTTGGATTTAAAGTGGGAAAAGCAATGCTGATCAGTGGTGTCTCTGAGAAGCCGGCTGATGCCAAGATAGACTCTGTTGGTGCACATRTGCTCGCCTGATACTAACCTTTAGTGAGGCATCCCTGCTCCTAATTACAGCACAGTAACAGAGCCTGCGCCAGCTCTCCATCCGCTGCTCCTTCGTGATGGATCAATGCGACCTTTGAACCTCCTGGGCTCGCAGGAGATCTTGGTGGCAGCAAGATTGCAAAGCTCCCTGCATTGCTAGTGCGCAGTCTCAAGGGATCACTCAGCCTACTGTGTTTGAATTTTGACTCAATATCCTGTTTTACCTCTCTGCAAAGGAAACCCTCACCATACTCCCAAGAAAACAGGAGAGAAAAAAATTTGATGCCAATCTCAAAGAAACAAAGTGCAAATACTGAAACAGCATGGAGGGCTATATGGAGCTAATATGCAGAGGATTTTGGGATATTTAGCTTGGTTAGAGAATGAATGGTTTTCTCCTTTCCAAAAGCCCTCATTACTGACTCCACTAGATTTTCAAGACTTACTATTTCATGCAATCTGTTCATAATATTTTTGTGCTCTGCAGAGACCACTATCTGAATCTCCAGGGCTCTGCTTGAGAGCTGACTGTCTTCTCTTTCCCACTCCTCTCTGAAAACCTTCTTCCTTCTTTCCCAGCAGCAGAGCGCTGGGTAAGAGTAGGATGGGGATTGTGTCTCCAAGGCCGTCGGTCAGTGCACATTTAATCAGTGCTAAATTCTCCATAAGAATCAACCACTGCTTTAGAGATGCTGACTCCTCTCCCCYGTTGCCTATCTTGGGAGATTTCAGGCTTTGATAATTCTCGTGTTTCTGTGCAGCATGCAGTGTGTTCCGTTGGGCCCTGTTTCTGAGCTTGGTGAAAGTAATAGAAGCAAAAATCAAATAAAAATGGAGGCAGGATCCCATAGAAAAGCCTTTTTTGCCTGTTGAATTGCCCCCTCCCAGTCCCGCTCCTGCTCCTGGGAGCCGTCACGGTAGCCTCCTGCTCTCCCTGCCTGCCCGGGAAACATATTCGGCTGTGCCTCTGCCTGAGCAGCTCCAAGTTCCTCTGTGTTGCCTACCTCATGCCTATTAAAAAAGAGAGGGAAGAGGGAGGAAAAAGAGCAGCATCATAATTCCAAGGCTGTACCAGCAGGCTCTTTGCAAGAGCAGCCTGGACCTTCTGGCTCCGGTTGGTGCTGTTTGTCAAGGACCGAGCGCATCTAATGAGTCTCCACGGCTCGCTGGTGAACAAGGGAGGGAAGGAGGTGCGCGCTCCCCTCCCTCCTTCCCTCCTTTTTTGTCCGCTTTGGGCCTTGGAGAGGCCACTCTGTAATGCGGGAATGTTCCTGCCCTTTYGCATCACTTCCTCAGAGATGATCCCTGCGGGATGAGCCAAGGGTAAATGACAGCATGTTGTGCCCATGGGCCAGGAGCCTCTTGGCTGCCTCCGTTTGAGGACACAGAGGCAGGAAAAGGTTCTTCAGGGCGGCTCTTGCTCTCCCATAAAAAGGACCTGGGCAGGGGGGCCTCCCTTGAAGCCTCTTAAAAGACAGAAGCAGTCCAGGCACCATCTCCCATGTGCAGGAGCACCAGGGAAGCGGGGAAGCTGTGGCACAGGGCTGTTCGTGGCGGGAGACCCCGTCCTGAGGTGCCCGGCACGCCGGGATGCTCTGGGCAAATTAGCCAAGTCCAATTATCTGCCTTGGATCGGTGTCAGCGGCGCGCGCGTGCGTCCCGCCGCCCGGCGAAGCCTTCTGAGGGCTGTTAGAGAAACGAGAAGCTGCGCTTTGATCTGCCTGTGTTTGGCGTTTAAAACAAGGCCTTTTATAAGGGAATATTCGGTATTCGGAATCTGTTACACGCAAGGCAGCTCCGCTTTGATCCTGTCCCGTCTCCAGAGGCAGCCGACACTTAGTATTTCACGGGGAGCTAAATGAAGTGCGGAAGGAAATTGGGG